GAATTCCGTCGGGGGGACTGTTGCTTGTCCCTCACGCTTTTAGTTCACCTGGGCAGACCTGATGTTAAGCGCTGGCGAGGCGGACACGCGCCCTCAAGAGCCACAGGGCTCGGGTTCTGTGGAGCAGACATCGGGGCTCATCCCGGTGGGGCCCGTTTCGTGCATAAGCTGAGGTTGGCTTTGTGGGTTTTTTTCCGTTCTCTTTGGGGAGTGACTTTTGGTGTGTGTGTTCTGAGCTGCTTATGCAAGCAGCCACGCATGACTCCTAGCCCAAGGCTTCTGTTGCTCTTTTCTTCTCTTCTCCGCCCACAAAAAATAATTTCACATGAAACCTGTTCTCTGGCCAAGGCTCGTCCCCTCCTCGGCAGGGGGCTCTCTTTTGTGTTGACTTTAGAACAAATTCAGATCTCTGTCTCCAGATTTTGGGGCGCGCAAGCTCCAGCTTCCTTTGGAAACTTTGCTTAAATACCAGCATACTTGGAAGCCCTTCTGCCTTCTTCCTCCCACAGTCTAATAATTCCTGAACTGATGGATGGGAGCAGTCCTGAGGGCTGGGAGCCGGCTGCCATTTTTGAACACGGTGTATTTCACCCACGTTTTCACACCCGGGGTGAGAAATTGGGAGTAAGACTGAGCAGAGCGAGCCCTCGGTGGGTTGGCACGCCGAGTCTAGAGCTCGCTGGCCTTGTGACGAGCTCCAGGCATATTAAGATGCCTTTGAGCCTCAGTTTCTCCATGCGCAAAATGGGGTTCAGAAATAATGCCCATAAAGTGTGTGGGGGGGCACGCAATAGAAACTGCAGGTGTCACGAGGAGGGTGGTGATGATTTCCGGGGAGCCTGGCTTCAGATGGAGCTGGTGATTGGGTGGGTTTAGCGGAGAGAGTTCTAGCTGCATATTCAGAAAAGCCAGCCGCTCCCCAAAGCTCCCCTCAGCCGCGCCCGAGAGAGCCTTAAAAAAAAACTACCTATGTGCACAGAAAAGTGATGAGACTCCACGATTCTCCTGCTCTCCCTTATCTGAACCAAAATTTGAGTCTTTGCAGAGAGGAAAGGTGAGGGCAACAATTTTCCTTTCCGTTCTAAAGCAGAGCTCCTCAGAGGTGCTATAAATATAAGAGTATAATTATTCTTTCTCTAAGCCTTGTGTAAAATGGGCATACTAGTGATTGGTTTAAATTAAGAAGAAATCAAATGTGGAGGTTCTAAGCCCAAAGAAGGGGAAAGCAGGTGGGCTTAGAGTCACAGATCTGGGTTTGGGTGCAGACCCTTCCCCCCCCCCCCCCACTAGCCACATGGTGGGGCTTGGGACCAGTGACCTTCCCCCAGCTCAGTTCCTGCACCTGTAAAACGGGGGTGATACCCACTACTTGTAGGATGGAGTCCGGATGAGGTAACAGATGCAAAATGGCGCCCGGCACGTGGTAGGCACACCAGTGGCGTGTACCCTGGGGGGAACCAGGAACTCCAAGCTCTGCTCTGCTGTGGTGAGGTGGCAGTGAGCTTCCCTGCTGGTGCCAGGCCACTGAGCTGTCCCGCCGGTGGCACTTGCCGCAAGCTCAGTGTGAAAGAAAGGGTGGCCAGGCCACAGGGGAGATGCACAGGTGAGACCAGAGGGACTGGCGCCTCTAGGCAGGCTGCACAGAGTGCATCTTCCTCTTTGTCTTGGCGACTCAGGCAGCGGTTTGGACAGAGTGCCTCTAATGGAGGAGAAGCCCGGGCCGGTCATCTTCACCTGGTCCCCACCCCCACCCCTCCCTGCCCCGTAAACGGAACACCCAGCATTTTAAACGGACTCAAAGGCTCACTTGCTCACAGCCTTCCCCCCACATACTGGATGTCCAAAGCGCTCTCAGACAGGAACACTTACTCAAGGGAAAGCCATTTATTTCAAATCTTTATTTATGATTGGAGAAAAATAATGCCATGTGACAGTGTACAGGTCCTGCTGCCTAAATCCGTAACAGAGATAGACGTTATGACTTAGCAAGCTCACGTGGTGCCAATTCTGAGATCAGATGAGGTTGTTCTTCCGTAGGAAATGGGGCCTGGTAGCATTGTTTTTCCATGTTGTTCTAGAAAATCCTTTTGCTTGGTTCACGTTTAAGTTTCTCTCTTTGTGTGTGTGTCTAAGTATGACTACAGCTCTGGGCTGGTGTTTTCTATTTATTTGGTGTCAGGTGTCAGCATTTCGCGGTACTAGGGTGGTCCTCTCCTTTGAGAATAACAGGGCTATTTATTGATACAAAGGAGAGGTGTTCAGATCATCTTGTTAAGATGCAAAGCTCAAAATAAACACCGTATCTTTATTTGGAAATCCACATCCTTCCTTAAAGGAAGGCTCATGAGTAAATTTGTATGAAGTATGAAGCCCAAGCTGAGTGTCTATTTTTAATGACTTCTTTGCTTACATTTTAGATTGTACAAATGCCTCTGTCAACCCTTACAGGAATTTGGACTTTACTCAGTTTCGAGCAAAAGAACCTCAGCAATAAATACTACCGTATGCCTCGAAACATTACGAACCAGAACGAAAGGAGATCTACCTGACTTCTGAGAAGAAACAAACCAGTGGCATGAAAAATATACAACCGAGATCAGTGAAGGGGTTTAAATGGACATAATAAGCAATTTGATGCCTGGGGGGAAAACACGGAGATAATAAATACAAATGACAAATATTTACAATGGAAGCAACAAACAGGACATCAGTAGGCGAACACATAAAACATTTACACTGAGGAAAATATAAAAGCGATGCCTTTCACACATCCAGCCCAGGAGCCGACGAACAAACGAACAGCTGACCCAGCAACGCGGGAGAATGTTATTGTTTCAGCCTTTGAGTGATGTAAGTGAAACAGTCAACGTGCTGCAGTGGCCCATGGCATGAGACAGCCATGGTTTACGCTCGGTTCCCATGGCAGAGCCTGACACGTCGCTCCTCCTCCCCCCGCAGGCAGAGCTGGCTTCAGTGCACCATCTTTTCTGCTTCCTACAGCTCTAGCTCTTTCTAGGTGCTTCTCCCACCATTTTGTCACCTTCCCCCACCCCCCCCCCCCACACCCAAATGGTTTCTTTCCAACGTGCACATGAAAGATTCGGGGAGATGACCTTCCAGCCGGAGGCTGGAACCAAGGAGATTGGATTTGGGGTATATAAATACTAGCTGGGTTGGGGTCAGGGCATTCCCTGGAACAAGTTATGTTAGAGTAGATAAATTTAGCTTCTCTATCTCTGGCCTCAGGTTGCTTTGAGGGAGAGCTATAAGCTGATATAAATGGAGGATGCTTCCTTTTTTGCCAACTCACTAGAACGGGGGTCAGAACACTCAGGCCCAAGAGCCAAATCCAGTTGGGCACCTGTTAAATATAATTTTACCGGAGTGGAGCCAAACCCCTTTGTTATGTGTTGTCTCTGTATGCCTGCTTTCATGCTATAATGGCAGAGTTGAGTCTTTGGGACAGAAACCACATGACCCACCAAACTGAAAATAGTGTATTTACTATCTGGACTTTTACAGAAAGAGTTTGCTGACCGTTGCTCTAGAAGGAGCTGGCCCAGAACACCCGTCTATTCTTTGTAATACTGGCCTTCTATTTGAGTACTGGCTGCAAGAAAGGATAAGCTTTAATGTGATAACCCAGTGGGAAAGAAAGGGCCTATCTATGGAACATTTTGAACAATCACAAGAACCCCAGCGCTGACCCTTTATTATAATCCTCTCCCTCTTTGCCTTGGAATTTTACTTCTGTCCCTCCGCTCTGTCTTTCTTTTGTCCACTCGGACTCTTTTCTTCGTTGCTAAATTTCCAGTCCGGATCTGGAAAATCCTGTCTCTCAGTGCTTCCTGGCGGTCTCCTCCATTTATGTAAAAAAGCTCAGCATTTCTCGCTGGAAATCACAGTCATCTGGTTCTCTTCTCCCCCTTTCCATGCTCTAAACCCAGAAGCCACGTTTCCAACTTGGCCTCATGGCATCGGGTACAGGGCTTTATCGATCTTGGCTGAGGGTCAAGGAGAGGTAACAAAATGGTAAAGAAAATCTGTCAAATGTACTCCTCGTGTGTGCATTTTCCTCCGGGTGTGTGGTTTGCCCTAAGTGGCTAGAAGCCCACGCCAGGCAGTTAGATGTACAGGTACACCGTTCTTTGATTCCTTTTAAAATATCACTCAAAAGAAAAAAAAAACGCAGCCCCCAAAGATGGGCTGTATTTCTTTTTCCTTTGAGTTGGTTTTAATGACCCAGTTGCTTTGTTTGAAAGCCATTTATTTAGACGACAGGTATGTAGATGTAACTGGATAAATAAAAAAGTGAAATAGAGACTTGAAGCAGTGGTTAATATACAAACACACAGGGGCCACTCCCTCGGACATGGTCCCCCAGACAGAACAATGGCTCAGAACTTAACACGTAGAACCCTTGCCCTCCCCGTCCCAAGCAGCTCTAAACCTCAAGGTCCCATGCAAGAAACGGAATTTCCGTTCGGCACCAAGCACCCACACGGCCCTGTCTCCTCTCCACCCTTCTGACTCCCAGCTCGATTTTTACATTCACCCCTGCATCCGAATCCAGCTGCCCTCTGCCAAGACAGCACCGGAAGATGCGGGCTGGGGCCCAGCACCAAGTGCGAGGTCTAGCTGGTGGGCCTGCCGACCCCTGCCCTTCCCTGGCCCACCTCCCCCACAGCAGAGCAAACCGCAGGCCGCCGCCCAGTGGCTCCACGGTTGGAAAGAAGACAAAGTTGCAAGGAGGCTGCGAGGCACGCTCACTTCAGGATGTGCAAGTGTGGAACCCACCGGGCACAGCCGAGACCTCGCCGCTGCCCAGGCCGTCTCCGCCTCACCTGTTCGTTCCGCTAGCACACGCCTTCATCAAGTCCGCAATCCCCACCAAATCCTGCGTGTGACATCCCCCCTCTTTAATGGCAAATGTTCTGGAATGTCCATAGAGAAGAAAATGGACGGCATGGAGGAAAGATTTCCCGGCCAAGCCTTTCGTTTCACCTCCGGATATCGGAGTATTCAGACTGTTCCTCCTCCCACTCGCTGCTTCCAGAAGTTCCCTGGCCCCCGTGGCCGGCTGCTCTGCCCCGGGGATGAGCGTTTGGGTGGCTTTTGCTACCTCGCTCACCCTTGACACCTCGGCCTGTCTCCCGACTACTGGCTTCCGAGAGGTGGTGACCTGTGTCTCCGTGGTGGGCCCTAGAGAGCTTGGCTCTGTCCACCTGGAGCTGGCGCTCAGGGGGCACCGTGGGAGGCCTCTGGATGGCTGAGGTGCAGAAACTCAAGATGGAGCACAGGCTTCCCCAGTTCTGCTCACATTGAGCCTGAACGCTGTGGGTGATGGCCTCCTTCACCTCCTCCCCACAGGTCAGCAGTAGGTTCACCAGGTCCACGTAGGGTCTAGAGATTGAAAGCAGGAGAGAGAGAGAGAGAGAGAGACCGAGAATGGAACCAGTCCCGAATGGGCCACAGAGGGCAGCGGTGACACAGGCAAGAGAGATACAGCCAATGCCTGGCTTGGGTTTCATTTGGTGAAAATGCTCTCTGGAATTGCCTCCAGCTTTTATACATATCCTCTGGAGTGCTGGCCTCCAACTACCATTTACTAGGTGGCCATTACGTACCAGGCTCCACGCCAGGCATTGGAGAGAGAGAGGCTGGTGACAGGGCCTACCATCAGGAAAAGGGCCAGTGGCAATTTACAGGTGCATACAATAAAAGGAAGAGCCTCTGGGGAAGGTGGGTGAGAATGCCAGGTAGGGCGGCTGTGTGAATGTTGAAAAGGAGCACAGGTCATGCTTAGGGTCTGCTTTTTAGCAGGAGGAGCAGTGAAGTGTCTTGGGGGCCAGTGGAATAATACTTAGGCAAATGGTGAAGGGTCTGAAATACCAAACCGAGGACTCTTTTTTGGCAGGGGAGGAGAAGCCATCAAAATTGGGGCTGGGGAGCTCCCCATCGCCCTCTTGCAGCATGGTGTCAGGTGGGGCCGGCTGGCTTTGCACTTGGTGCCACTCTCCTGGGTAAGCCTTAAGCCTTAAGTGAGACTCCCAAGAAGCCAATCTCCCATGTCTGTGTTTGCCCCTGGTTTAGGCTCATGATGAAGAAGGGTGTTTTTGGAAGGTACTGGGTGCAATTCCATCTGTACCTGGAAGAGTGTGAGATCGGTGGAGAAGGGTGGGAGGCAGACGGCCACCCTGGGATCTTCCCTTTCCTGGTAGTAAAGGCTGAGGAAGGGGAGTGGCTATCCAAGCATCTCTACTCTTCCCACCTCGGCTTGCCTGGAACTCGAGGTGAGGGCTGGCTGCAAGGTGCCTGTGTGTTGGAATGAACGCCAGCCGTCTGTGAGATAAACACACTCGGTCTGGAGGGGAGAGCATTGCTCAGGCCATCCAGCTGCCCTGGGTTGTTCTTTAGGAAAAGTGCTGGAGGAAGAACGGCCGCATCGTGCCAACATGGGGTGGGAGTTGTGTGCCGAAGGCGGACACGGTGTGTCTGCTTTTATGGGCTTATCTGGTAAGAGGCGGTCCCAGCAATGGGCTCTCATGGCCCGCTCACTGACCCTTTCTTACATCTCACTGGCCTTTTAGAATCCCCGAGGTGGGTATGGAGTGTTTCATGTGGCTAACTAGCATTCTCAAGCAGTCCTTGGCTAGCAGTATTTCTGGGTATATCTGACCATGAGCATTGTGCAGCTCTGGGCCATCACCCGGGGCAGGAAAATCACTCTGGAACGGGAGATCATTTATAAGAAGGGGCGAGACTTTTTTCCCTCTGTGAGCCTGGGCCACCTGGGTGGCTGCATTTTAGCTCACATCATCTTTTCTTTGCAAGCTGACAGTTGCTGCTAGGCACGAAGAGCAGATTGTGTTTTAGGACTTGTGAAGTAGTTTACTGCCATTTTTATGAATTAGTCCTCAAGTTGTAGTTGATTGAACTGTCCTCATGTCATAGATGTAAAAATGGAGATGGCTGGTGGGGGTGCGACGGGGGGAGAGGAGAAAGTAGTTTTTGGAAGCTTCTGGGCTGGGAAGGCCTAGAGCTGGGCTGAGAGCAGAGAAGAGGAATGTTCTGGCTGATAGAGATCAAGCTGCCTTTTAAGGCCTACTTGATGCCTTTGGAGTCAGAGAGTCTGTGCATGGCTGATGGACAGGGTGCTTAAACTCTCTAAGGCAGGCCCCTAACAGTGACAAGGACAGCGATAACACTCCTCGGGCTAACAGAGGAGGGGAGGGGGCAACACAGAAGAAATGTTCAATGCATGTTTGTTTCCTTCCATCTTTTGACAACTAGCAACTGATTGCCTGAGGGAGCTCAAGGTCATGGAATGTATCTGCTACCACAGCATCAGGATTTTAGCACCTGATTGCACCTGCCACCCTCTGGGGCTGGATGAGCAAATTGTAGGGGCTGAGACTCTCTCTTTTTTGGGACTAGCCTGGCGCTCTCCGAGTTTCTTGCCCCAGGGTAAGGGGAGGGCTCTCTTGGGGATGTATAGGCTGCCTCCTGGCCTCCTTTGCCAGGGCAGTCTGCCTGCCAGATGAGCTCTCAGAACCCCAAGGCGGATCCGAGAAGGCTGGACTAGCCCACACTCTCTCCTGCCCTTGGCACCCTCTCCCGAGGAGAAAGCTGTGAGCCATGGGGAGGGGTGTGTGTTAATCTAAGCCGTGTTTCGAGCTGGCATGGTGCCTTCTCAGGCTGCAAACTCAGCCCGTGTCTAATGACAAAGCCCAGCTTTCTGAACTGGGTGTCAGCAAGGCTAAAGGATTTTAAAAAATACTTGGAGGGGGATGTGCCCGGAGGCTGCCAGCACCCAGTGACAGGGCGTGTGGTAGCCAAGGCAGTTGATATGGAGAAAGCGGGGCGGGAAGGGGTGAGAGGAACAGAGGGAAGCAGAGAGCTTGAAGGGAGCCGCTTCAACCAAACATGAGTGTTTTGGGGTGGTTGGGGGTTGGGTTGAGGAATGGGGGTGATGTGGATTCTGGAGTGACTGTGATTTCCTCTTCACTAAAATGAAAAGCAAATTCAGTTCTCATTTTGTTATCTGTGACCAATGCCACACGTTCTTAAATGGTCTTCTTGATAATTGGGGACTGACAGGATCCTTTGTGCCCAAATCGGTTAAGATAGTTAAAGCACAACTCGGTCAATTCAGCCTGAAGTTCAAGTTGATGCAGTGCATAGTCATGGCTTCAGAAGGGCAGGTAGTGGGTGGGGGGTCTGTGGGGAGTTGGGGTTAGGTGAGACCCCCTTTTGGAGGTCCTGGCTTAGCAAGAGGGAAGAGGACTTGTGTGCAGGCACAGTGAGTGTTCTCAAAAGAGGCCCGGACTCACTTACAGGGTGAGCCACCTGCACTCCCAGAGTGGGCTGGGGTGGGGGGCTATGTGTTCATTCTAAATGACGAAGGAGTCCTTCGGAAGTAAAAATCTCGTGCCCCCATAGGCTATATTTCCATGGAGGAGGCACCAGAAAAGCCACAGGGCTTTCCTCCTTCTTAAATTCTAGGGGGGAACAAAAAACAAAACAAAACAAAACAAAACACCAAAAAACAAACAAAAACCCCCTCTGAAACCTTCAGTTTTCCCAAAGAAGATTTTTCTCCAATCTTGAAAAAGGCAAAGTCTCCTTGCACTCCAGGAATATATTATTGACTTATAAACTAGTGCGCATCATCCATTCTTGAGGCCAAACTATCTATAGTGGATGACAGTGGACTGAGGACAAAGGAGCTTCAGGACTCTCTCAGCCATGGGACATTTGCCTCTTCCAGAGGCAACTCGAAAGAAGGGAATTTCACAGTGCTCTCTTTGTGAAATGGGGTGTATTTGGGAAAAGGGAGAAACCTCTGCTACATCTGGGGGCCAGTGAGCCTTTAGCAGGTCTAATGGGGACAGAGAAGGTCAGGAGCAAGGAGGTTTGATGTCTATTCCTGATAATCAGCTTTAGTCATATATATTGGCAGTTCCCAAGCTGGCAAGTAGGGATCAAACCTCAGAGCAGGATCTTTAATCTCTTAGTTTCCCTTTCCTCCTCTATTAAATGGGGATAGTAATCTCTATCTTCCAGCCCTGTTGGGAAAGGTGCATGAGACAGTCCAGGTAAAGTCCCTGGCCAGGGGCCTGGCCCACTCACAAAATGATAGCTATTAGCATTATTGTTATTGTTGTAGAAGCTGTTGTTGCTTTGTTTCCTTACAGGTATTTGGAAGAATGATAGATATTTTAGTGGATGTTAGTGTGACTAAGGAAAAGGCAGCATCATTTTGCTCCTGGCAAGAGCTGCCTGCAGAGATTCACGGCGAATCTTATAATTCGCAGCAGGGGTGTTGCAAGATACCTACAGCCTCGTAACCTGATGGAAAGTGACAGGTGATGGTTGGCCTCTGTGACCCAAGTGGTGTGGGTCGGGTGGGGAGCAGTCTGCTTAGTGACATGGCTTGGGGAAGGCCATGGCACCAACGAAGGAGCAAGATTTCATAAAATTGTACAGATAGAGACCAGCGGTGCCCTAAGTTGCTGAGGCAGGAGCCATCGTAAGCCACCGCCCATGCTTCATGTCAGGAGCAACTGTGTACCACGTGCTTTATCACTTTGCAAAGTTTAGGATCCCATAGATGGGATATATGTATGTATATATATATATATATATCTCCTCTCCTCTCTATATTTTTTTTTTTTTTTTTTTAAGGATCTGAATGTCCCTCGGTTATTATGGCTTTAGAATCTTAGAGCCTCATGGGAATTATTACCACCACTCCTGGCCATAAGGTGCTGCTGTAAGTTTTTGACATTGGTCTTGTGAAAGTTTCCTCTGGGAGGGCATTCATGTGTTAGGGGAGGTGAAATGGACCTTTGAAGGAAAGAGGGCTACGGAGGCAGGGGAAAAAAAAAAAAAGCTATTGCTGTCAGCTTTTGGCATGTAAGATTGTGGAGCGGGACTGCCTGTCTTTGCCTCTCATTGTGTGACCTTCGCCTCAGTGAGTCCGTTTTCTCATCTATAAAATGGAGAGGAGAATGAAGCCTAGCTCGCAGAGCTTCTGTGAGGATCCAGGAAGAGGGAGGGGCGTGTGAACACCTGAGCACAATGCCTGGCACTCAGTAGACGGCCAACAACTGTCACGAGTGCTCAGGGGCACTTTCATGGCCGCTTGGAGTATTCACAACTGTTGGGATCTGGGCTGAGGGGAAGGCGAAGCCGTATTTCTGAATCCTACACATTTCATGCTTAGTAAAATATTTTCTGTTGCTGTTGCTTATGCTTGTGAAGCCAATGGTGGAAAGTTCTTTCGCTTTTCCTGAAGGCCAGCAGGAAAGGGACTCCCAGGGGAGTCAGTGCAGCTTTCTGAGGTACAGCGCAACCTTTCCCGTCTGACGGGAGTTCGGCCTCCAGCAACAAGCCCCTTGGAACGCCTCTAACACCAGCCAGTGGAGCGGGGCCCCTTCTCCCCATGGCCCCCGTGGGGGCGGCACTCACTCGTGCAGCAGCAAGTCCTTGAAGTGAATCATCTCCACCATGACTCGGGTGTTCTCCTGGGCGGCAGAGCACAGATCGTGTTTGAGGTAGCACTCCCGTTGTAACTGGAACACCATTTCCTTAATGGCTGGGCACTTCCGGCTTATGCAGCCGAATCTGTGCCGCAGAGCATGGGCCTTGCACTTCAAGGCCTCTTTGATAAATGACTTGCCCTGGGAACAGAGAGGACAGAGAAGACAGAGTGGGGCAGAAAAGACAAGTCCTCGTTATAAGCTTCGACGTCCGCCCTTCTTGGGCTTACACGGGGTCTTTGTGACAACTGAACCTTAAGGCCCTGCCTCAAGCTGACGTCGCGCAGGTGACGGGCTGATGCTGCATCGGGAGGTATGTCTCGAGTGACACGATACCTCCGGCATTTGGCCAAGAAGGATGTCACCGGGAGACTTAACAAATCTGCCTCCTTCCTCCCCAGCTGCTCGCCTAGTTTCCCTTGTCCCGGGGCTGCCGTGGCCATCTGTCCTCAAGGCAGCTCAGTGTTGGCGGCTTGGTGGTAACCTTTCTGGAACACAAGGGGAGTTTGGCCAGATGCAAATCCAGAGCTCCCAGCAAGAGTTTTCCCCAAGTAGAAGGTGTCTGCTCATCCCACTCTCACATCACTGCCGTTTCCTCCTGTTCCATGAATGACATCAAGATTGGGTGCTATCTGTGCCTCCTTTTCCTGTCTCAGCGCCTCCCACCACCCCCAACCCATACCCTTGTCTCCTCCTATCCTTTAAGGAGGAGCATTCTTTTCCTTTTTGAAAATGATTCGACTCCTTTAAACTGTTAGGATTATTGCCTCTAAAAGGCCCGCCTGGCACATTGCCTGGCAGCATCTGGAGTCTGAACTGCCCAACTGACAGCCCCTCCCCCACACTCCCTGCCTCTGAGTGGCTAAGGCAGCCAGGCATACATCTGGCCCACAGTTCTCTTTCCTGGCAACCCCATTAGATTGTTCTTATCCTAGAAAGGAGACAGCTGTTGGGGGTGTGGAGGCAAGCTGGGGCGTTCGGTCCCTTATCAACCTCTCAGGGCAGGGAGGCATTCTGGGATGCCTACCTAGGGATCCCCATTCCCCCATCACTATAGAAACAAGCTGTCGTTGGAGAGGTCACCCCTCTGTTTTTAGCCAGGCCTGAAAGTAACTGAGTTGAGAAAGTAAACGGGGTTAGGTTGGAAGCGGGAAGCCAGCCAGCACGTTTATTTCAGTTCTTCCTTTAGAAGCAACTGAAATGGCTACAGACAGTGGCTCATCACTGAAGAGCTACCTCCCTGAGGCCCCTTTTGCTCTGACTTTCCAGTGGGAGCCAAATAGGATGGAGGGTAGGGTGTGCCGGTCTATGAAGTAGTTACATGCTGAGAACCAGCTTGAAAGGGATGCTCCGCACTTGAGAACATAACTCCTGTTGGTTGAGAGAAAAAGGAAGATTAATTTGTCTGAGGGCTGCGGCAATCTGTTTGGGTATTCTTCCCCAACATCCTGTGGGATTGCCCTTCGGTACACATCTTTCCTCCGGATTTCCTATTACGTTTCCTAATTCCAGTTAATCCAGAAGGGATCCTTTATTAGGGAGCCTCGAGGAGTTCAAACGTTCTACTCTTTCCTTCCCTGGCTTCTGTTTCCCCTCCTGCCACCCCACATCCTCTGTAGGGTAGGTTGCCAGGCCCGTCGCATCCCTTTCTGGTTCCCAGGCATTGCTTTGTCAGGCTCTCTACAGGATGTCAGTAGATGATGACTGGTGACATTCATAAATCACACCTAAACTGTTGGCTTCATCCAAACATTGTCTCCCACTCTCCAATGCAGTGGGAGAGGAAGTTGATGAGAGAGAGCAACGGGGGTGGGGGGGAGCTTCAGACTGCATATACGGGTTGGGGAGAACGTGAAGAAGGTGAGCCCAAGGCCATCTGCCACCTGAAATGTATCCGGATTGTCAGCACTGGGACCATAAGATGGCTTGTTGGGTTCTTGCCCTACCCTGAGCAGCAATTAGGCTTTGTTTTCTACCCTGGGGATTCTGGGGTAGCTGGATTGCATTAGGCCTTATTAGAGGACTCTGTAGACTAGAGCTCATTCAGGGTTTTCAGGTTAGGAGAGGAGGGTCTGCTACTTAGGAAGAATAAGTCTGTTATTCTGGAGGCCCCAAATTATCCATGTTGCCTGCTCACACACCCATTGGAGATGATGAGTTTCTACAAAGTTCGTGTCCCGTTTATTCTTTCTGAGAAGGTGAGAACAAGTCTTGGAATGTATAATTGGAGTCGCTGCCCTTCCCTCCCCGAACCTACTGTTTCTAATGTGATGGGCCTTGCAGACCGAGTTCTGGGAGGCCAGACATAGTGTGTCCCCTTACAAGATGTTTATTATTTGTTGTGACTTTTGTGCTCTCTGTTAAGAATACTTAGATGATTGTTCAACTTGCTCTCCATCCCGCTCTGCCTGTGTAGACACAGCTTAAGAGTGGAGAAGGGTTTCGCCACCCCCACTGACAGTTCAGGAGAGAAGAGTCCCATGAGTGGACTGGGGAGAGACTGGCATCCTGCTGTGCACCAAGAATGTCTCTTGCAAACGTTAAAACACACCACGAGGATCAGCCACGGAAATCTGTTCACAAGTCCTTCCAATGAACATTTCAATCATGTGATGCCAACCTAAAACATTTTGTGCTCTATGTGGTTTTTACCTGGGCATCAAATTTTCCAGCGTTGTGCAGAAAAGTCATGCAAATCCCATGTAAGCCTCGAATCTCACAAGAGTTGTTCTCGAAACATTCAAACACACCACACCCCACATCGCCAGCGTTGACCAAACAGTGCTGGATTTCCGCTAAAATGAGAATTACATACAAATGTATACAAAATTCTCAGCCGTGCTGGGGAATGCAGAGAGGTCGGCTGAAAGAAAAGTTAGTAATGACTAAAAGAAAATTTAAGAAGATAAAGTTAGAAATGACTATTTTGGGATCTAAAAAGCCAGGGCAAGAAAATTTCATCATTTAATCTACTTATGGAAATGTCACTACTTGTAAATACTGTATCTGTAAAAAATTAGCCAAACCTACGTTACAAAAATCACAATCAGAAGTTAGGTCTGAGCACTCCACTTTTCATCCTTTCCATCTTCTTAAAGTATTTGTGGAAATACTTAGTTTGAAAGCAGAAGATATTTCAGCTTCCTAAACCCACACACAAAAATAAGATTTTAAATGATTAGCTTGCTCTCTTCCTTCTGTACTTCATCAATGAAATACCCTTCTCTACTTGGAACTTGAAGCTGCTGCTGTTAAATCACAGCCATTTCCTTCCTGACCCCCAAATGCCAGCGTCCAAAGAGCAGTTTCAATTCAGCTTTATGATTCAACACCTAAAAATCAAAACAAAATTCCTATTAAGGCAGCGCCTCCAAACCATCAGCATTAAAAATACCAGGCTAGGGAAGCTGCGGTTGCGAGAAGGCTCAGGAATCGAGTCAGATGGGGGCTAGCCTGCAGAAACGCAAACGTCGCAGTTAGAGGCTCCTTTTAAATAGAGATCCGGTGTGAGATATCACTTAATCGCCTAGAATTCCCGCGACCGGGGAGTTTGCCGCCCTCCTTCGCAGAACGTGGCCCTAATTCATCTCTCCGAAAGGAGAGACTGAGGGAGTTAACTGTCAGGCTGCCGCACGTAAAAGCCTCTCTTCCGTCCCTCCCCCCTACCCAATTCACTGATTTAAGCCAACCACAAAATTACATCAGAAAAGTATATTTTGGAAGAAGGGCGGGGTCGGAGTAGATAATCCGCATTCAGATTAAATCTACCGAGAGAATGAGGGGCGTGTATTTGTTGAGGTCACCAACTACCGAGAATCACGTTCAGTTCTCAGGGAAAGCACCGGAGAGGGGGAAGGGTGGGCGCGGGTCCTAGGGTGAACCCCGCGCCGGCGGGGGTGCGGGCGCTCGCGCGTGGAGGTGGGAGACTCCCGGATGATCCCACGCGCGGCCCCGGCGCGCCGGGCAGGAGCGCGCGGGGCTGCGATTCACTCGCTGCGGGCGTCCCTAATGGGCACTCGTGCATTCTTGCTCGTGCGGTGAGCGCACGCACGCTGTAGCTGGGTTTCAGGCCCCCACATAAAGGTGGGGGGGCGGTGCGCCGAGCGAAGGAGCTGCAGGCAGATTTTCTTTCTCTCTCAGGAGCTGGGAAAAGGGCCAGCCCCGTGCCCTGCACGCCTGGCTCTGCTCGGCAGCATGCGGGTGAGCTGAGAGCCGGTTGAGCAGCGGCGGCGCACAGTTCGGGCCGTGTCACCATTTCTTCGCCTGCTGACCTGCCCTGGAGCGGGAGAAGGCGGCAGCACCTCAGAGGTACGCTTTGAGCCACCTCCCCTCACCCCTCCCCGGAAAGCATTGCCCCCAAGGGGGAAGTTCGCAATGTAATCGGTCTGGCCTACAAAGTTCTCGGGTGTCGGGCATCTTTTGGGGTGGGGAGTGGTCCCGTCGCGGCCAGCCGGCTCGGAAGAGTTCCCCGGGTGCGGGGCGCAGGCCGGCTCCGGGGACCCTCGGTGCCTCCCGAGGGGCGGCCCGGATGGAACAGGGAGCTCTCGCCGGAACGGAGACTCCGGGGCCGGCAGTGGCCTGGTCAGATGCTGCCTCTTTTACCCTCGACCCCGGGGAGGACAGCAACAAGTCCTGACCCAGCCATTTCATCACCCTGCCAGCACGTGCGGATTCCCGGCGCGCGGAGCCTGGCGCGGACAGAGTCTCGCCTCGCCTCGCGCTTTCCTTTGCATGTCCCGCGCCACCCCAAGAGTTTGCGCTGCCCTAGGTGGGCGCTCACTAACCAGCAAAGCGCCCGGGGTGCGCTGCGTGGGTGCGCGGTGTTGTCTCCCCGCAGCTCTCCGCCTCGGGGGCGCTCGCACTTACCTGTGTTCTGCAGGGACAGGCGGCCTTTCTGCTGGGAGCCCCTGTCTTGGGGACCCTCCGGCGGGTTGGTGGCGTCGGTCCCCCGCGCCGGGTCGAAGGTGGCCAATACCAAAGCCAGGGTCACAAATTGGCCCAGCCGCTCGGCACACATGGTTCTTGGTATAAACCTCCCTCCCGGAGACCTGGATTCTTTGTGCTCCCCTCCGCCTCTTCCTCCTCCTTGGCCGCTTCCCCTCCTCCTCCCACTCTTCCTCCTTGCTCGCCTTTTCCCTCCTCCTCGCGGCCGCGGCTCGGATAGAGGTTACCCAGCGCCCTCCCGTAGCTCTCTGGAGAGCATGTGACCAGGCCGTTAGCGGCGCCGCGAGTGCCCGGCAATGGCAGGGATGGTGCCTCAAATATCCCTGGAAGCTCTGGTGTCACTTGAATGAAGGAGTCGAGCAGGTGTTGTCCCAGCGGCTGGACCAATCCGAGACCCCGGCCCGTTTGACAACACGGCTGGGAGGCGGGGCCTGCGCCCAACTACTACAGGAGGAAGCGGAGCGCCGCTGGGAGCGCCCGACAAAGTTGCCGACCTGGCGGCGGCCACGCGTTTGCGTGCGTGTACGAGTGTGAGCGCGGCCGAAGATGCGTGCGCGTGTGCTGATGCTCCAGAGCTATGGCCGAAGGCACTTTAAAAAAAAAAAAGTGAATCCCAGCTCCGATTGTAGCTAAAGAAGGGCGGGAGGCGACGATCTGCGCTGGGACAGCGTTCCCTGGCTCGCATCACACCCGCAGAGTGCTGGGAAAGTTTCCTTTCTGTCGTTTGGAATTGAGTGAGCTTCCCAACCCCGAGCCTTGACAGATTGGGAGTCTCCTGGGCACAGTGACGCTGGGGGCAAACTGAGCACATATGGGAATTCCTGTCTTTGTGACGCTTTGCATTAAGAAAAACAAAAACAAAAACAAAAACACCACCATAACTCTCAAACTCAGATAGGAGCAGAAGCACTAGATACAGGACTTGGCCTGAGCAGCTGGCCCATCTTCCCCCCTTCCTTTTGCTCCGATTTGGTGGGCCGTGCAACACCTAGGGTGCCAGTTCCTCGCCCCTCCCCCAATCCAGACGGATTCCGGGCCGGGCTGCAGGGATCCAGGTGACTGGACTTGCATCATTTCCAGGCGGGTGGCTGTGAGGCCCAGGCAGCCCTGAGTCAGCCCTCCGCGGAGCATCGCTTGCCCTGGAGGTCGGAGCTTGAAAGGCAACTTTACGCGTCTCCAAACACACTCTTCCATTTTCCCAAAGCGCTACTCGCCGCCCTGGTCCGGGTTCCTTTTACTCTCCAACCATCGATGTAAATGGTTAAAACAAAAACAAAAACAAACCCCCAAAACCAAACCCGGGGAAATTCTCTCCATCTCTTCTTTCTTGTTGGAGCTTCCTCCGCAAGCGCGGCCGGGGCTGCATCGCCCCGGCTGCTTTCTCCCCCGGCCCGCGGAAGCTGGGAGAAAGTTGGGCGCCGCTCGGAGCGCCTCTTCCCCCGCTGTGTGTGTACGTGTGCACGCTCACGTCTCCCCGGCGCCGGGGCCGGGGACAGGAACTGCTCTGGGCACCGTCAGTCCGACGGCGCAGCTCCGGGGGCTCGCGCGGCTGGGGGAGGGCGGGGACCCGAGCGCAGCGGCCGTGCGCCCCGCCGCACGCACTCACCCGGGTTGGCCCGCCCTCGCCCCTCCCCCGCCGCCCCCACCCGCCTCCCGGAGAACAGGTGAGCTCGGGTACCAGCTCCCACCCCTCACCCCCACCCCGCTGCCCGCCCGCGCCCTCTGCGGTAATGCGCCGGGGAGGTTTCATCACCCACCGCCCGCGGCGACGCGGCCCAGGGTCTCCGCGGCGGGACGCACTGCGCGCCTCGTTGGGGCCGCCATGTGACACGGTTGGGGGAGGGGGTGCGGAGACGCGGGGGCCAGGTCGTCTCGCGGCCGCCGTAGGGCCTCCCGAGCTTCCTTCCAGGGTCCCGCCTGCACTCGGGCGTAGGGAATGCGGAGGCGGGAGGCCTGGGTGGCAGTCGCTGGCCGCAGCTGTCCGGCGCGTCGAGCGGCCCTGAGTCTGGAGTCTGAGAGGAGGGGGTGGGGAGGGCGCCTTCGGAGTGGGCAGTCCACCATCCCCGCCCGACTTTCAGAGCCCCAATAAATGGTCACTTTGAAGGTTTGAGTCTGCAGCCGTGACAAGAAACCGAGCACTTATGCCCATGATTCCAATAGCAATTACTTTGTGCAGCCTCAGATCTTTTGTGGAAGGAGGTGGGGTCCAAGTGCATTAAAATGGGTGGTTCGCATTTCCCACCACTTCTTTTGTTTGCATAGTTAACTTAGCTTCCTTTATTAATTTATGAAAAACATTCTCCTGGAGATTCTTAAAAGACAGAACATAACAGTGTCATTCCGGCCTCTTCAGGAACTCCAGAAGCCCCTGAATTTCCTGGGTAGGCTTTCCTTCCATGAAGCCTCTTTTGTAGGTGAGAACATGAGCAGTGTTGGCATTTAAAAAGGCGTCTGGTCTCTTGGTGCTTTGAGCAACAGAAACAGAAGAGGTCCAGGGGGCAGGAGCAAGCCCACCTTTGCTGGATGCAGACACTGTGAGTCTACTTGATAGAAGGCTCCCAGGGCACCTGGAACAGTAGGGAGGCAGATGGCAGGTCTCCAGGCTCCTGCCTCCCCACTGCCTTTGGCTAGGCAGTGCCTTGTGCCCCGGGGCCCTGGGGCTGCCCTCAGGGGACCTGCATAATTTAAGTAATCATCTTGAGGTTATTTGCTCCACTTTCACAGGGGACATGCCTGTCTCCCACCTGAGCCAACTGCCTCTTTAGAACTAAGTGAAAAGTAGTAGTTAGATTTTCAGGTGTTGCAAGGACAGGTACTCATTCTTTAACGTTTCATCTCCAGGCCACTTGGCTAGGGCCAAACATCCAGAGGAGAATGCCCATCCCATTCAGTCTCATCGGAGCTGAGAAAATTCTGCAGAACCAGTAGGCAGTTTGCTGGAACAACTACCCCTGTGGCCTGGGGTGAAAGCTGGGAGGGGAGACCAGCCTGGTGACCTTGTTGTGACCACCCCCGCCTTCATTTTTTTTAGCTCTAGAACTCTGGCCTAGTTTGGCAGATTGTGGCTGATGAGAGTGGGGGTGGGGAGGGGACAGTAATGATTTTATTATTATAAAGCTAACATGAATTGAGAACAGACACGGCACCACACACTGAGATTGTGGCTTTGGTGTCTCTCTAGACCTGAGTCCACCCTACGTGGGAACTGGGACTTGGGAGGAGCAAGGACAGACTGGCTGGTGTTGTCCCAAGCTTCGGCGGAGAGTCTGGCTGTCTGGGCCCTCCTCAGTTTAAGACCCAACCAGCAGTGGGGGCAGTGAGGCAGCCTGCCCGGTGACATCCCAGGCCTCCTGTGGTTGATGCCCAGGATCCATGTTTTCCTCTCTGATTCACCAGTTAAATTCAGTTAAACAGTTAGTAGGTTTTTTTTTGGGGGGGGGGGGGAGGATATTTGGTTAGACTTTGAAAGGCGGGAGAGGATACTGACAAGTAGAGGTAAGGAAAAAAGAGAGGGCATCACAGGAGGGAGGACCAGCGGGAGTCAGTGAATGGAGGAGCCACTGTGGGATTTGCATCAGGAATAGGGGTTCTCAGTTCAGAGTTGAAGTAGGAGACAAAACTGGCGAGGGCATCTGGGACCCTGTTGTTAAGGCCTTGGGACAAATCTGTGCTCACCATGTGGAAGCTCTTGTTCTGTCATTGTGATGGCATTTAAGGATGAGACTCCAGCCTGCTCTTCGACTAGCTTCCCCTTTGGAATTAGGAAACAGAGGGGTCCGGTGCTGACGTGGTGAAGGGGGAGGTGGGAGAGAGGAATGGGAAGTAATTAGTTGGAATCTCGATGTGGGTTTTGAGGCCTGCAGGACAGAGGTGTTCTTTCAGGGGCAAGCAGGCGGGGCCGTGGAGGGTGGGAACACTTGTTCGGTGATGAGGCAGTGATGTGTAGGTTGGTACACGCTGTCTGGTCCAGGCTTTCTGCGAGTTCCAGAGCCTGAGTGGAAAACGTGGCTTCCACGTGGAGAGCTCCTCCTACTGCACACCCCGCCCCCTTGGGGCTGCCTGTCTGGGCTGATGGCACCACCTTCTGGTCGGAGAGGGAACCGTCTGACCACATAGTGGACTCTTCCTGACTCCAGGGCCTGGGGCACTAATATTGGGTCCCCTGCCCTCTTCTCAATTTCCTTGACAGATCAACTAATACCTATTTTGGCAATCTCCTCATAAAAACTGCTTGAGCCTCATCAAGGAAATCTCTTTCAAACTTTTTGCTTTTCCTTCTGCATCCTTTGCTATCTTGCTACCCAATCTACCCTCTTCCTGGCTTCTTTGAGTCATGCCTATATGAAGGAAAATGTGGGCCGACAAAATAACAGACCGCTGCTATCAGCTTCCAAAATTCTTGCAAGCAGAAGCCTCTCCATAGAAAGTCTCCATCTTTCCTCTTGTCTTCTTTCCTTGAAGTGGTTGTTATGTTAAATAGAATTCGGGATAAAGAGAATACGTCTTCAATATTTGGGTTTGTTTACTACTATTCCGACAAAATTGCTCTCTACTAATTTTTACTGGAAAAGCACAGAGCTTCAACAACGTTATGAATTAAGACTTTTGTGGGGCTGGTTAGGAAACCTCACCATCATTTATAATGTTATTTATTGAAGGAAAATATATCCTGAGTTCCCAAAACAACCAACTCCCAAAGTTTTGGAACATACTACTTTTGTGAATTGGACATTTCCTCTGGTCCTAGATTAACAGTCTAGTGTATTCATGAACTGATTGGAAACACAAAAGATAAAAAAGAATTTTTAAAAACCCCACAAGAATAGGAACATTGTCTCCCTCACCATAAATTCATTTACTGGAAAGAATATAAAGCAGTAAACATCGGGTGTCTGATTGTGGTCGGAGTTTTCTTGGTGCTTTGAAGCCTGAATAGTCTTCCAGAAGTCCTCTCTGTTTTCCTTGGGTCATGATTTTTGTTTCCTCATTGCGTGCCAACATGAAGTCCAGGGGAAAATGTCCTGGGCGGGAGGCTGAGTGGTCTCCATGGGAAGTGCGGAGGAACCCAGGGGT